CTGAAGATTTACAGATCCAGATTCAAGATTCATTAATCAAGTCAGAAATCAATTGATTAAGGTATGTTCCGCGTTAATTCAGTTTCTTGATGATTTGACATGAAGATCTTGGCAAGATCATAAAGTTCAAGTTTTAATAAAGTTCCAACATTTGTTGCATGGACGAAGATTCTAGGGCTTTGCTGAAATCCAGGCTGGGAATTTTGGCTAAAGTCATAGCATTGATTTTCTGGTTGCTACGGGATACGGAGAAGGGATCCATTGGTGGGGTTTTTTTCTTTTCTGAATGGAGTTGTCTAACTTCAGCAAGATCTTGAAAAGTTAGATTCACAGAGTCATCAGGGACTCCTAAATACAGTTCTTCAAGCTCTTTTTTTGCCTTCGCTAGTGTTGACCTGTCTCCCATTTTTCTTTACTGAAGTCAAGAACAAAAGGCAGGGAATTGGGCTATGAGAGGAGTGAATTGGGATGCATTATTTAAAGGGGGAGGTGAGAATTTAGTAAAGATGATCACCCGTTTTCCCAAACAATTTATAAGATTATTGTTATTATTTATTTTTGCTAATTTGTGAAAGCCATAAAGTTTCGCACGACTCTCTTAGTGCCTCTTTGATTTGCATTTTTTTCTATGGAAATAGGAAAATGAATTCTATTTTCTTAGTTTTGGCATGTTTGATGAACACAATTTTCCAGGGCATTTGTTTTTTTGGGTCTTGCTTCATGCGCCTGATTTCCTCTTAATTGATGAAAATGATTTCTCACCTTTTAGGTGGGAAAATGAAATTCCATCTTTGCTTTTGTTTTTTGCCAACGGAAATAAATTTGATAACCAATTGTAAAAACAAAATTCACTTTAGTGGACAATTTTCATGTAAAACAAAATCAAACGTACACTAAATTTTGATAAAAAAATGATTTTTTAGGAAAAGAGTTATTTTTTCGTTTTTTTTTTACTTTTTGACAATGGAAACAAATTTTATAACCAATTGTGAAAAAAATTATCACTTTAATGGATAATTTCCATATAAAACAAAGCTAAACGAACACAAAATTTTAAAATTTTCCGGGTGAAAAATTATACCAATCAAACACACNAATCCAAAATTTCAAATATTTTCCAGGTCGAAAATTGTACCAATCAAACACACTTAATTAACAATACCCCGGAAAACAATTTCTAGGCAATTACTTTCCCTGAAATTTATTTTCTTTCCACCCATTTTTCACCCTTGCAATCAATCGGACCCTTAGAGTTAAAGCATCTTCAAGAGATTTTTATTTTTATTTTTAAAGAGTATATTATGCTATTTAGAGAGTAAAAATTTTTAAATATTCCAATAGGCTTTTTATATTTTATACTTAATTTTACTATTCACAAAAAAATATATTTATTGTTGTTTTTATATATTTTATTTTCACTAGCTTTCCTTTAAATTATGAATTAATCTATGTGTACATAGATTGATCCATCCCCACCTCACTCACATTATGTCATCTCCTAAGTTTACACCTATGTACACATTGCATGACTCTTAAATTATTTTATTATTTTTCTCCATTGAAAATTGAAATACTATTAATGCATTTAATTATAGAAAAATGTAAATTTAAAGAGTTTTTTCGAGAATAATTTTAAAGGTCGACTCTTTTAAAAAAAGAGCATCTCATATTTAAACAGTTTTTTGGAAAATGCTCTTACACTTGCAGTGATAGACCATTTAACATAATCTAGATTGCAGAATTTATTGTGCAATTTCAAGAAAACTAAAAAATAACAACGCAATTCAAAATGACATAAATAGCCACAATATATTTTAGTGGAGTGGTAAATCAAGTAAAATAAATTTTAGTTAGAGTGGCAGATATGGAATTTCATCATTGTATTAACAAATTAATCCGCATAATCTAAATAATGACACTTATCATGTGGAAACGCCAAGTCGAATAAGGGACATAAATTGAGAATTATCACAATTGCCAAACATTTCCTTCACTTTTCCTCGGCGCAAATACTTGTTTCTACTCTACGGATTGGTAAATAGTATTATCTGGAATTTGAGCAATGTTACATAAAGTCGATGGTGTTTGAAAATAATTTAGGTGTCAATACATGTAGTACTAAATGAAAGATTTAGTTAACCCATTGAATCGATCCTTTCACGCAGTTAGACTAAATAAAAGTACACATAGCATTTGACATAATGTTCAAATATGTGAACCATTATGGGTAGCATTACTCAACATTTAATGTGAGTGATGGGGTAATTTATTAAATGAAGATGAACCTTGTCATCATTTTAATTTCCCAGTGATGATATTTTTTTATAGGCCTCCATATCAAAGCACCAATCCATTAAACTGGTCACTACATGGTGAAACACTCCATTATAAATCCTCTATTCAAGCACAGAAATAAAATGGAGAACAAGGCTCTCCCTTTAGCCATCCTAATAGCATTACTAGTTGGTGTAATAACAATAATCTTCAAATGGGTGGTCTACAAGAAACGGAGGACACTCCCTCCAGGGCCAACTGGCTTGCCCATCTTTGGGTGCCTACTGCAAATGCTTCTTAACAAGCCAACCTTCCGTTGGATTCACCGTTTGATGGATGATATGAACACCGAGATTGCTTGTATCCGTCTTGGTGGGACTCATGTCATTCCTGTCACTTCTCCTGAACTTGCACGAGAGTTCTTGAAGAATCAGGACAGTACATTCGCATCAAGACCTGATTGCATGTCGGGAAGATTGAGTAGCAATGGGTACTTGACTGCGGCACTAACACCTAAGGGTGATCAATGGAAGAAAATGAGAAAAGTTCTTACTTCAGATGTTTTTTCACCAGCAAAGCACCGTTGGCTTCACGACAAAAGAATGGTGGAAACTGATAATCTTGTTCGTTATGTCTATAATCAGTGCAATAATTCTTTGGAAGGTGTTGGTTTGGTGAATGTACGAATCGCAGCACAACATTACTGTGGCAACGTTATCAGGAGATTGATATTCAGCAAAAAGTACTTCGGAAATGGTAAGGAAGATGGAGGGCCAGGTCCTGAAGAGGAAGAACATGTTTCTGCGTTCTTTACAATTCTTTCTTCTCTCTACGGGTTCAGCATTGCAGATTATATTCCATGGTTCGAGATTTTTGATTTTGACGGTTATAAAGGGATCCTCAAGAAAGCTATCGAGAGTGTAACTAAATTTCATGATCCCGAAATAGACAATCGGATTCAGATGTGGAAAAAGGGGATGATAGTGATCGAAGAGGACATTCTTGATGTCCTGATCAACCTCAAGGATTCAAAAGGTGCTCCACTTTTGACGATTGAAGAGATCAAAGCGCAAATTATTGTAAGAATGCCTCCTCAAATCTCCCACCCTCTTCAGCTCTTTCTATTTCTAGTATCCTAGCACCCGAATTTGAAGATTTCCATGTCCTGTATTCATAGAAAATCAAATATATGACGCCATTAGGATAGTAATAAAAAGTATAAGCAGCGGTTTTCAAGGGATGTGTAGTTGAAAAGTAAGTAAAAGTTACAGTTTCTACAGAGTGCATATAAAAATAGCATTTGACCAGTTTATAAGCACTTATAAGATTTGCAAAATATGCACTAATATAAATATTAAGTTGTTATTTGCAGGAAATAGTGATAGCCACGGTGGATAATCCATCAAATGCTATTGAGTGGGCTCTTGCAGAGAAGATAAATCAACCTGAGATTTTGAAAAGGGCTTCTACAGAATTGGAACAGTGGATAATCCATCAAATGCTATTGAGTGGGCTCTTGCAGAGATGATAAAACAACCTTGGATTTTGAAAAGGGCTTCGGAAGAATTGGACATAGTGGTCGGAAGGGACAGATTAGTTCAAGAATCAGACTTAAAAGATCTTAATTATGTGAAGGCTTGTGCAAGAGAGTCATTCAGGCTCCATCCTGTATCACCTTTTAACGTTCCACATGTATCTACTGAGGATGCAACTGTCGGTGGCTACTTCATCCCAAAAGGTAGTCACGTGCTACTGAGTCGTCCTGGTCTTGGTCACAATCCAAGAATATGGAAAGAGCCTCTCAGGTTTAAGCCAGAACGTCACCTCAATAGTGATGGCTCGGAAGTTGTTCTTACTGATTCTAAATTGAGAATGTTATCATTCAGCACTGGAATGCGAGGCTGTGCAGGTGTTTTACTTGGTTCCACCATGACTACCATGTTGTTAGCTAGGCTTATTCACGGGTTCACTTGGAACGCCCCACCTGATGTGCCAATAGACTTGACCGAGTCTGAAAGTAACCTCTTGCTTGCTAAGCCATTGCCAGCACTGGCAAAACTCCAGTTGTCTGAGCATGTGTATCAACAACTTGGAAATTAAACTTCATTGTATATTTGTTGGCACGAGGAACGTCTAATAATGTAGGACTTATTTCAACTATCATTCAATAAATAATTGTACCAAAAGAATCGTCGTGTTTTGTAGTTAAATATTTCTTTTGCTGTATATATAGGTTTTAATTATACCCTACAAACGTGTTAGCATTTTCATTGTTTCGAGAAGGTCTAACATTTTGACTTTTATTTCGTGCATAAATCAACTACTTCTTACATTTACTAGTGTACGCACGTGCGATGCACATGCTATAGTTTAATTGAGTATTTAATATCGTGAAGTAATTTTAAGATATTTTTTCATTATAAGTAAGGTAATATTTGTATAATTGTATAAATCGATTTTTTTCGTCAGTTAATCTTTCTTACAATGAAATGTTATAATGTATGTATGTTGTGACATTAGAAAAATGATTGCAAATTGATGCAACTCATTCTCCGAAAAAGGCACTTACGACTACTTGTGTTGATAAGTATATCAACACTATCTACCTCTTGATTATCGTAGGATGATATGCTTATTTACAAGAAACTATATTTTAAAGAGTTCAATTTTTCCTTCAACAACTGTAAAAGCATGAAAGAGATATCCTTCATACAAGTTCACAGTGTGGCAACTATTCGTGCATCATGGAACCTATTTGAAAAGGATAATCAAGTACTTAACATATTTATCATTGAAAAAAGAATAATAAAAAATAAACGAATTCCTTGTCAATATAAAATAAATAACATAAGAATTCTATGCAAACTGGCAAAGAAGAGTAGTGCTACATCAACAAACTCTTTTAGGCCAGCCGCCCTCCCAATAGGGGGCCGTCACGTGTAGAGTTGGTAAAAGATTATGTAAA